TGTCCAGCAGCCATCCGTCAAACGTCCACGAGCCGAACTTCAGCTCACAGCGCTGGATGTCAAAAGGAAACCATCGCACATCCACGTTACATGTGCTGATAAATATTCCTTTAAAACAAGAGGAGGGGAAACACAGAAGGAAGTATGAAAGTCGAGTAAATCATCCCTAGATGTAATGGGAATTTGATTAAAGATGTTGTTGGTGTGCAGCCATCTGGAAGTATGTGATGAGGAAAATATTTGATGGCAGTAAACATTTCTAGATGGATTTTCTTGCTGCAGAAGTTGAATGGCTGAAGATTCAAGGACAAGATACTGCTTTCACAAACATACCTGGAGGCAGATACTCGCAGAAGCCGCTGGAGTTTACCAGCACATTTGTCTTAAAGGTGGCGTCAAACTTATCATGAGCGCTTGAGAAAAGTAACACGGAAAGAGAGAGACAGAGTTTAGAGCTCAGCAGCAGCAAATTAGTATTATGTGCATATTTTTCTATGCATACCTGTTGTAGAGCAAAATGTCAGGTGTCCAGACCTGATCAGAAGTAAATCGGAGGTTTTTAACTCCAGGATACTCAGACTGGTTCCACTGGAGATAGTGGTCATACCACTGCTGGGAGACACAAGCACAACACAGGTTTTAAAAATGACCCCAAATCATGAAGAGCAAATATTTGTATTGCTCTTCATGTTCTTCATTCTACTTTAAATTTAGTTCATATAGCTCATAGACCTCGCTCAAACACAACCTATTTCCATTACAAAGCTATTTTAAGCACGCTGTACTCGCTCTTATTCCTCTGACACTGCTTTCACATCCCTCCCCTCAAAGTTTCCTCTCTTACCGGCATCCCTTCATCCCATATCCCTGTATCCTTACCCTCACCCCCTTACATCCCTCAAACCTCACTCATCATTTTTGCTCTCTGCCACATATATCACAATAAACTATTCAAAATCTATTTTGTGAACTACTGTTGTGTTGGTTTACTCTTCACACATCAAATCAAGTCTGTGCAATGTCAGATAAAGTCTTTGAGGTAAAACTGTGCATATAACCTTCGCAATCAGTCGACTAATATTGCCTTATTAGAGAAAAATAAGGGAATCTGTTGATGTCCAAAGGTCTTCAAATATCCCCCTATTGAGGTGTTCATTATATTAAAACTAAAATCCATCCTCTGGGATGGTTCTATAAAGCTGATCATGCAAAAAATGAAGCCCATAAAAACAGGTTTGCACTAAAAAAATCAATATCACATTTAATAACGTTATTCACTTTACTCACCATCTGCAGCCAGGCATTTGTAGTGATAATCTGGTTCTTTTCATCCTAGCAGAACACCAAAAATGATACAGAAATTGGGTGACTGAATTATTTAAAATAGAAGTTAATACTTACTTGTGTCCGTTCTTAAAGCCTTTTACATATTTCATTTCTTCTTTATGTTGGTGTATATATGTGTATATGTTTGCCATGCATACCACATCCATGACCTGCATCAGAGTGAAGGAGAACTGAACAGTGAGAGCCTGGGAGTCGTTGGCCACAGGTCTCTCCATGGGGTTGTAGTCTCTCAGCAGTTCCCGCAGCAGAAAGCGCTGGTGAGGACCCTGCACTGACTCTGAGAAGGGATAATAACATGAGGGAGTCAAGAGAAAAAGTGACAGATATGAAGCTGTCTCATGGAAGACAAGGAGGAAGCACTGGCAACGTAGGAACCGCCTGAGAAACTGTGTGATTACAATGACAGAGGGGTAGTGTGGGGACAAAGTGGTGAAGCAATTGTAGGCCAAGAGAGCAGAAGAAACTAAGTAACAGATGGAGAGTGGACACGCTCCAGTAGAGGTAAAACAAAAAGTGGGCTTTTAGAGTACCAAAGGTGATGTTTTAAAGATGGGGTCACTCTTAAAAGAGCAGAAGGATGGATACAGAAGAGTGCATTACACAGCATAAGAGAAGGGAACACAGAGTGAAAAGAGAGGAAAGAGAGGAAAGGAGAGAGATGGGGGGGGGGCAGAAAATCGTGCTCCACCTAATCAATTATGTCTCAGATTGATCACCAGCAGACAGTCGGAGACTTTCCACAACCGTAAAATTGTCAGGTCCATTCTCTGCAGAAAATAGTGAGGCCATTAAACACTGAAACACCCCGAACAGACACACACAGCACTCACGACAATGAGAGCGGGCAACTCTCTCTCTCCGCCCTATAACTCCTGCTTGGATTCACTCCTGATTCATTCTTCACGATGTAATCACTTTGATGTGGAGGGAGCTGTCAGTGGTGGGTATAAAGAAATGATTTGAATAAGTTTAAAAACTAAACTTTGCACTTTTAACTTTTAACTTTTACCTTCCCCTTGCCCAGCCCCCCAGGTTGTAGGGCTGGGCAACTAATTGAGTTTCATTGACGATTTTGGCTTCCCATGATCAAGGAAAACAAGATCATCAAGATTAAATGATTACTGTGTGCATGCCAGGTTGCGCTTGTTTTCTCCATAGGTTTTGTCATGTTGGATAAATGTATCAAAGCGTTTGTTGTTATATGCAGGCCTGCACTATTTCAATTTATTTCTATGTATTTATTATCATTGTACATTGTTATGTTTTCATACTTTTTTGCCACATACTTATTGTAATGTATTGTTTTCAAAGTGTTCAGAATGGTAAAGAGTGTTTAAGTTTGATAAATGCATTTGATCCAGATGTTGTAAAATCAATGAGAAACCAAGTTTAATAATTGTGCTCTCAATATCAATCAACAATAATCATGATCATGATTTCTGCCAGAACTGAGCAGCCATACTAAATTGTGCAAGATTTAAGGTGTCACATCTATATTCTCTAGCTAGAGCGTTGATAATCATCAATATGGTAGTACAGATGGTATAATTCAGATTAATAGCCCCCAGTGCAGTGTCCGGTCATAGTAAATCACCCACTAGCAGCCTCATTATCACCCAGCTTTTTCAATCAGCTTATGCATCAATCTCTGTATCTATGTCTTTATCCATGTTATTAGGGCGCTAGGCACCGCTAAGCTATGAAATCTGCAGGAAAGATGATAAATGTCACATTGATATTGAAATATTAAGATATTTACCTCTGTGTGGCTACCCATCAACATACACTCTTTCTGTATCTTACTAATGTGATCACAGTTATTAGGAACAAAGTGCTCAGCTGCATCGATATGTATTATATTCAGCACACACAGAAAAAAACACTTATTCATGTAATACCAATGAGAGTCACTCACCCTGTAGCAGAGTCGAAAGTATCAACAGCCAAAGAGCCACAGCCTGACACATACTGCATTCCTCTCTTTTCACAGAGAAAGTGATAAAGATGGAGAAATAGGGAGAGATGAGATGAGGGAGGGTTTAAAAAAGCGGAGAGTGAGGTACAGATCGGGCTCAGAAGAGTAAGATAGAAAACAAGTGGAGAGAGTGTGATACGAGCAGTGGCTGAGAAGGGAAAGGAGGAGAAGGAAGGGAGAGGAAGAGAGAGGAGAGACAGAGTGGGTGAGAGATGCAGGGAAATGAATACTCCTCTGGAAAGAGAGATTCTGTGTGTTGAAGTCACCCTTCATGCTTCTCTGCTCACTGATCATTTCCTGCAGACTTTCTGATAAGCACTTTCTGTCTATACACATCAGTCACCCTCTCGTCATTTTAACCTGTTCTTGCTCACTTTTGCAGCCAGGTTGTTTCCTCCCCTGTAGGCGTTTGATGATCAGATTTTTCACACTCTGTATTTTGAGAGCATCTGTGGGTACATATTTTGGAGTAAGCACACCGATTTAATAAACCAGGGGTGTCTAACTTGAAGCTTTAGGAGGAAATAAAGCTTCATGTAGCCTAAGTACAATAGTGACTGACAAGGCAACATATAACACTCTAAAACGAACCAAACATTAATTGGCCTACATTTTTATGAATCTTACACTTTTGTAATGTACCAAGCATGTAATGTTGGAAGCTACTTTCTTTCATTTAGGCTTACTGGACTTGAGTACGTGCAAAGAGAAATGCTGACACCCACTGGACAAAATGGTTAAGTGCAAAAATTAACTTATTTTGTTCAAACTATTTAGTGGGAACAATGTAGTGTGGTGTGTTTAATAAAAACTACTCTTGTTGAAATGTAACAACACTACAGTATTTTGAACATGCTTTTTTACCTGGTTATCTTTTTAATTGGCTTTTTTTTTGGCCTAATGAGTAACTGTTTCATTTCTGTTTTGAATACTGAGCTATTTACAATTCTACACAGGCTATATAACTTTGTTTTTTTAATACATATTCTGAGTGTGACAAGTACTGGCCAAAAAAAAAGCATGACTAAACCCAAATTGAATCTTGGCACTAGAGAAACATACGTTCAAATGGATGCAGAGACAACAGACAATGTAGGCCAGGGGTACTGGCGGCCCAGGGGCCACATGCGGCCCCCATCAACCCTTAAAGTGGCCCTCAGGTCAATTTTAACATATCAATTAATTGGAAACATGAAGAAAACATGACAAAATCTGCCATGAAATCATGAAAACCAGAAATATGCCCATAATAATATTTGATCACTGGTATATGTTGAGTTAAATTTGAGACATTACTGACTGTAATCGTTTTTGTATTCTACAATTTGGCCTTCTGGCAGTGAGAATTAAATGAATGTGGCCCCTTGCTGTGACCTAAGTTGCTATAGTTGGCCTACATGTTCTATAACCTGCTGACTACCTAGAAAGATGCAATTCGAGCAAATTAAAATGTAATCGTAAACTTTAAAAGGGAGAAACCTTTTCAAGCACAAAATATTATTTAAATAACAAAAAAAAGTGAAAAGGTGGTGGGGGGGAAGTATTGCAAGCAAGACACCCAAAACGCTAAAGTATGCGAAGGAAACACCCGAAGAATATTTGAACCTTGCCCATGCGGCCCGCGTCATCCACTTGCGGCGACTGAGTGTTGTGTCGGTCGCAAACATTACGCGTAAGCCCCTTCTCGCACCAGTTCATTGATTGTTTGTATCACTGCATTAACATATTGCACAGCAACACGGGCCCAGTGAAGCGTAGCCCCTGCGGGAAAAGGTAAAATATAAAGCTCATATTTTGTCAGTATAATTTAGTATGACTTGAGAGAAGAGTTGTTTTAGGGGATACAAGCAGCTGGCTGTGCTGCAGGCTGTGGATAGAAATGGTGCAGTGTGAGTGCGGTGCTGCCAGTGGTGCTAACAGGCTAGCTCCTGTTAGCTGAAGGAGGAACGATGACTGCTTTCAGATGTTCACTTCTCCTTTACATGCGGCTTTACTAAAACACTTCCAGACAGGTCGCTAAAACTTCTTCTTGGTGGTTTTAAGCCAGTTTAACACGTGTTCTTACCTGTTAAACATGTTTTCGTTGCGTAGGGTTGTTAATGGCTTTTTAAAAAAAGTCTTTTTGTCAAGAAACAAATGTGAGGGATGACAAATGAGAGTTTTAATTGTGTTGTCCATCTCTTGGATGAGAGACAGAGGAGTCCAAGTACTTTAACTCACAGAACTCAAAGAAGTCAAAAGATCAAATCGCCTGCATGTTGCTGTACGAGATTCAGAGGAAGTGTCATTGTTTTATTTAGATACAGGCAGCAGACACCCTGTCAAACCTTTATCGCAGCTTAAGTTTGAGTCGTCCAGATATATTTAATGATGAACAAATGAAACTACATGTTCTTATAGTTTGAATAGACCCCAGTGCTATGTCATGTAAATAACCTTATTTTGTAATATAGAACTCTTAGTACAGTAAAATCGACTAGTAGCCTATATGTTGTTATTAGTCTTTTTATGTTAAATTAAATTAAAGTTATTAACCTCATTCTGCAGGATTCCGGTGAATATTGTAATGTAAATGGTGACAAGTCATTTTATTATTGTGTAATGTAAGATTATGATTAAGTCATTTTATTATTGTGTAATGTAAGATTATGATTAAGTCATTTTATTATTGTGTAATGTAAGATTATGATTAAGTCATTTTGCACACGTACACTCATTCCAGTTGTACGAGAAGGGAATAATATATTATTATTATTATATACTGATGTGTATAATGGTGAACTTTAACTATTAGTGCTTTATTACGTTATTTTTTTTCTCTCCCCCTGTCACAATCCCGAATACAAGAACCACTATTTTTGCTGTGATATTTGTATCTCCCTTATTGTATAACATCACTTTCAGTCTACTTCATTGTGTTTTATTTTTAATGTGAGAATCTGATCCGAGCAAGTTTCCCCCTGACACAGTGTGCAGGAGACAACACGAGGATGTCCTTGTGGCTCCACAATACATCGGGCACATTGATAAGACTTTTCCAAACACTGGAATTAAAAGACGGTATCAGACAGCATTACTTTGAAAAATATTGTGTATACATTAAAAGTACGTATTTCCGTCTTAATGTCTGTTTATCAGCATGCGCCCTTATTGCCAAGACTTTACGCGCCTCCTTGGGTCACGTGGCCAACAATGGAAACCTAATTATTTTCTTTAGAAAAGAAAACGAAACTTACTCAGTCCCTATTGCAACCTGTTTCCCTTTCCATGCTCGAGTCACTGTGATTTTACCCACCTTAACTTTCGTGATATTATATCTTAGTGACGCGTTTTACACCACTTCATGCAACATTTATAAGCCAGCAACATCTCAGGTGTTTTAGTTGAAGCTGCTGAAAGGACATCACTCGGTACAAAGCGGAAGACCCTGCGCGTTTGAAGCATTTAACAACACGAACTGCTGGATAGTTTAACCATCTTCTGCCGGTTACACGGTTACTCTCCCTGGTGTCATATCTCGTGTCTTTGAAAAAAAAAAAAAAAAAAAAATTAAGTTCTTCTACTTTTTCGGGAATCTCAGTTTCAGTCATCTGACCATTAGGAAGCTGCAGGAGCCAGTAGTGTTTGCAGTCGAGTTCTTCTCACCACTGAAACTTTGAATTCAGCATATAGGTGAGATCAAAACAACAACAACTCTGTGAGCCCAATGGCCCCTGTGTTACCAGTACTTGTGTGTTTTTTATTGATTAAATATGTATGTTGAATTTGGCTATGTGCATGATTTAATATTTGCATTGGGAGTGTCACAATAGACAAGCTGGGCTCTCTTTGAAAAGTAAACACTGCAGTGGTTGAATTAGGCTTTGTCTTGACATGAGAGCAGTCCTCTGTTGTCAAAGTGCTCGTGCCTTTGTGACTCTGCACAGGCTCCAAACAAGGAGGAGCATAAAGACAGTGGATTCTGAAATACACAGTGAAGTTATTTCAGCTGTTGAAGGTTGCCCTCCACAAGGGTCAAGATGAGTCAGCTCCAGCCCTGTCTTGCCCCTGGGATGCCGGACCGGCCCTGTCGGCCCCTATTACTGTGATGAACCAACACTGTTGTGTTCTCTATTAACGTGTCTGCGTTCAAGCCTGCTCAGCTCAATGTGACAGACCTGTGATGCTGACTGGGCCGGGGGGGGGGGGGTGAAACCTGACTCAGTATTAGGTGTCTTCTTGTTTTCAGTCTCACTGATATAGACATTATTGAGTGATGTCAGATATGACACTTGAGGCAAAATCAATGTTTGTTGTGCCAAAGAAGGATATTAAAATTCTGGACTATACTCTAGACTATGTTCCTATTCAGGAAGTGTTTTATGTGTGTTCTTGATTTTGGAGGGAGGAAGGGAATAAACCCGGCCTTGCGAATCCCACTCATTACTGTCAGAACTGTCAGCTAGCATTTGCATGGTTTTCAGTGGCAAAGCTCATCACTGACAGACAGCCCTTTAACGTCTCTGTCCTTGGAATTGTCCTTTTTGTCTGCATCAGTGTCTCACTTTCCCTCTCCGCTATGGATCCAGATCCAGCAATAATTTGTAAGGCCAGAAATAAAACAGAATAGTCACAAGAAGGTCTGAATTATTAATCACCATCCTTTTACCCTGGGATTAAGTTTCAGTGTGACTGGGAGGGACAGCATGTCACCCTGCAGTATCCTTGTTGGTTATAATCTGAAGATACACACAGAAAAGTTTCCAGTTTTGTTTTTATGATAGAGCCTATTCTACGCACATCATCAAATTGTTTCTTTTATTCTCATATACCGTACTCCGTTGTTTTTTATTATTATTTTATAACCGCATTTCACAAAGGTTAGCGTGTTTGATTTGTGTCCTTGGAGCTGATATACATTCATTGTCCTACCCAAGGACAATTGAGCAGGTTGGAGGCTTGCCAGAAGGGCCTGAACTTCTGTTATTGGCTAGAAGAAAAGTTTGTGTGCCCCCCCCCATAGCTGCTCATTTTTTCCACCATTCAATTATCCTACTGTCATGTATTTATTTTTTATTAATGTTCACCTTACGTCAACCTTTATTTGTGTTGCAGGTGCTCTCAATGTGCAGTAGTCCTGCCCTGACTCCCTGTCAGGGTTTGCAGTTCATGCTCGAGGACTTCCACTCGCACTGAGCTGCACAGAAGGCTTCACGCTCAACCCCTGCGCTATGAGCAGAGGTAGAGGAGGGCCTTCCAAAGACCACTACCACAGGCATCCTCCACCCGACCTCCAAGCCAGTTACCACAGACCTGGTATAGCACCATTCTACCTCAGACCTGGCCCACAGCATAGCCCATATCCAAGCTACTACCACAGCCCCGGCTCTCCTATAGTGCCAATACAGCCCCCAGTCCCATCTCTTGTCCCTTCTGCTCCACCCGTACCAAACACCAATAAAGGGGCACCTAAACCAGTGCCTTTCCACAGCTCATATAATCCCAGTTACAGCCCCAGTTCTGGCCCCAACTCATTTAGGCAGCAGCAGGTTGATTTCTTGAGAGGACAGAGCTGTGAGGCGCCACAGTTCAGAGCCAGTCCACGTGGAGGTGGAGGTAGGGGTATCCCGAGATATCCAAACCCCAGCAGCAGCCCTAGAGGTAGAGGGGGGTATAGTCAGGACCAGAGTTTCTTTTATCCATCTAGTGTAAGAGTTCCCCGAGGCCGTCCAGGCCCTCCACACCTGAATCGAAACCAAAACTATTACTCCGACAGACAGTGGGGCAACCAATTAGACTCTCTGTATGAAGACTTTCAGAGTGTGTCCCTTAATCGAGACAGGCCCTCCAGAGGAGCAGATAGGTTTGATGGACATTCATCATCCAGTAGCTCGGGGAGTTTGAGCTACTCTAAAGTTGGCCTCACTCCCACTCCTGATATCCAGGACCAGGTACACAGGGCTTTGACTGCATTGAAGCCAACTGAAACTATCCCTGCAAAATATTTGGCCAAAAAGCTGCGTCTGCCCAAAAGTATAGTCAACAAGGCTCTCTACTCTTTGGAGCGCTCGCAGAAGGCCTCAAAGCAAGGACTCCACCCTCCTGAGTGGAGTCTATACAAAGAACCTCTCAGAGGTGAGGAAGATCAAAACTCTAAAGCACCAAGTCCACCTTCAGATTCATGTGTCAGCTCAGAACAACCTTTTAAACCTGACTCTCAGGTTGAGCCAAAACCAGAGCCAGCTGAAAACAGGGGACAAGCCAAAGAAGAGGACTCTGACACAGAATCCAGTTCTTCTCGCTCTTCTATTGAGACATCTGACTCTGAAGAATCAGCTGAAGCTCAGGTGCAGGAGAAACAACATCCAAACACTTCAAGCTCTGCTGATCAGGACCTCCCCACAATGACAGAACAGAAGGAGCGGGTCCTGCAGTATCTCCTGCTTTCGAGGGAAGCAACTGCTCTTGTCATAGCAAAGAATGTGGGTCTTAGAAGTGCTAAGCAGGTCAATCCCACTCTCTACGCCTTGGAGAAGCAAGGTGAAATCATTAAGAATGGAGAGGTCAACCCTCCCACCTGGGAGCTCTCTGATCACCGCAGAGAGAGGATGGTAAGGAGCCTTAAAGTCGCACAGAGCACGCCAGCTGAGGAGGTTCGGATGCAGTTAGAGGACGAGAAGGGAGGAGGATCCATGTTTCTGTCATCATCACCACTACCTTCATTACCAGGCCTGGAGCCAGTGCCTCTATCGGAGAACTGGATACCTGAGCAAAGTCAAAGAGAACTGGTTAGCAAAGTTTAGCTTTATATCTATTTAATGTGGTTATTATGTATACATTCATATGAACATAGAATATTACCTCAGACATCATATAGCAGTTCTTAATAAGAGATGGATACCCTCATTACATGTACATTTATTTCAGAATGTAGTAGTCAGTTTCACATTTCTCTCTAAAGAAAAAAACTTTAGAGAGAAAAGAAACATTAGAGCTCATTTAAAGAGCTGTCGACATGGTAAAATTCTTAATATAACATTTGATAGTTTATAAATAATTGTTTATGTGAAAGGCTCGTATTAGTGTCATCAGTGTTGGTATATGCAGGAAGGTCGTATTTATTATAAAGAGAACATGCAGCTGAATGTAGCTGTATATCTACTTGACAGACATAGGAGCGGTTACATGTGAATTGTTGAACTCTCCCTTTAGAAAAGAGAACAAAGGATTCTCCTTGGAACATGCGCAGGCTCTTTTGACCACGTTTATAGTTAAGGTTACCACCTTTTGACTTAAATCCTGATTTTGTAATACCTGTCTCCTCTGCTCTTTGCTTTTCAGTCACAATCCTCCTGCCTTGCCCCCTCCTCCTCCTCCCTATGTCAAGATGAAGAAACCACTGAAGGACAGTGGGCGACAGACGACATACCAGAATTCCTCAACACCATAAGGAAAGAGACAGACGCAGGCAGATTAGCAGCAGAACAGGCTAATGCTGTAGGAACTGTAGCTGTGTCGCTGGCTGCTCCTCCTCCACAGAACCTGTGGGGCAAATTACAGGAGTTGAGACTGAAGAATCCCGTCAGCGGCCTCATGGAGTACGCCCAGTATCTGGGCCAGAACTGTGAGTTCCTGCTCCTCGACCAGTCAGGACCTTCTCACGACCCGAGGCAAGTCGCTTGATCTGTTTTCTCTGTCAGTTCAAAGTTTAATTTGATGCAATTATCTGATGATTATCTAACCCATAAAGAAACAGTACTGTAGAATTTACTATATGAAATAAAATCAATTCCAACAAGAATATTAGCTGCTCTGCAGGTTACCAAATCATTGAAAAGAGGGCAGTTGGCTAAAGGTGGCTGCCTCCTGTTGCCCCTTGAGTTTCATTATGTGATGTGCACTATTGTGTTGTGGTTGTTCCACCAGCACATTCGCTATCCTCTACAAAGCACCTTATGACCTAACAGTGACGTAAGTTGTTGTCTTTCCAATTGTCAGATTTCGTATGCAGGTGATGCTTAACGGGAAGCTGTTTCCTATCGCTGAAGCTTCCAGTAAGAAGACTGCAAAAAAGGACGCTGCTGCGGCAACTCTGCGCGTTCTGATCAGGGAGATGCAAGGAGGGGCGAGCATGGGGGAGGTGGGAAATACTGCCAGTATGGACCAAGTGATGGATTTACTCCCAGATACCAGTGTAAGTCTGTGTTGGAATGTGTCAAAGTGATCCCCCATCAGCCAACTCAGGAATTGTTTTCAATGGTGCTTTAAATTGATATTTGTCCTGCACTTAAGTTAAGCAGATAGTGTTAGTAATGCAGTGAACAGTAGGGAAGGATAGTACAACATTTTCCTAAGTTATAAAAAAGAAAGAGAGATAATGCTGTCAAAAAACTGTGGCTCCACTCTGCTCATCTAAAGGAAGCTCAGTTAACTCCAAACTTCTCCCCCCTCAAGATCAAAGCAACTCAAAGGTGTATCAATTACTGGGAAGCATCAACATAGTTTTCTTCTCACTAGTATCATTTTAAGCATCTAACTGATCCATGTCTCCTTCACTTTCTACTAGGGGCCGGCTGAAGGCACAGGGGGATTTTGTGGGAGTGGTAGTGAGGAAGGGATGACGGAGGGACCTCGCCAGCCACTGTCACGCTCTCTCCCTGGTGGGAAGAATCCGGTGTCTGTCCTGATGGAGTACAGCCAGCGCAGCGGGAACCCCATCGAATTCATCATCACTAGGCAGGCCGGCCCACCACATGACCCAAGGTACCGGCTGCTTCTCCTCCCTCTGAGTTGAACCTCTCCCACACTGCAAGTCACTTTGTGGTCACTTGTTTATTCCCTTGGTAAAGCAGTTGATCAGCTATTTCTGTTTAATCTATCCTTAGCATTGTAGTCAGCTGACAAAAATACAGAACCATCTCTATCCATCCCTTTAGGGTCTTGGCTGGGGATTACAATACATGCTTTTGTTTTCCACTGATCACTTCCAGAAATGCTGCATGCCTCTATTTGGACCACTAGTACACTGAAGGCTCACCAGAGTGTGTTATCACCATTGATGACAGTTGCAAGACTAAAACGAATGTCTCTCTTTCTCCTCTTTCCATCCTTTTCACCTTCTCTACCTCATGTTCAGGTTCATGTACAGGGTGAAGGTAGGAGAGAATTTGTTTCCAGAGGCCTCAGCTCCAAGCAAGAAGGCGGCCCGCCAGTTAGCTGCAGAAGAGGCTGTCAAAGAGTTAATGTCTGACGGGAGGCTGCAGCTCAACAAGGTAAGGAGTCAATTTGTTGATTTGGAAGGGATGAGTGGGGGACATTGAAGACACAACAAGCAACTCAGACTGGAACTCTTTGTCACGCAGGTCCACTCCATTTCTTCAGCAAGCTTCACTTCTGTTTTTCTCCTCTCTACCACTCTCTCTGCTCTCCAGCCTCAGTTACCCCTGGGCTCTTCCAGTGATACTGAAGGAATCAATTCTGGGACTCCGTGTCTTTCTCTGCCTCCTCTAACCGCTGATGAGTTGCGAGTAGCACATGAAGCAGGAGTCGGGGACCTCATCAACCACCTGAACAACAATGCAGTGTCAGGTCTTCTGGAGTATGCCAGAGCGCGGGGCTTTGCAGCTGAGATCCGACTGGTGGGCCAGTCCGGGCCTGCACATGAGCCTAAGTATGTTTGAAGTGCACCACACGCGCAATTTGCATGAACACCTGGGATAAAGAGAACTCTCTTTAAACAGACATTGCATGCAAAAGTAAAGTCTCCAATGGATAGCTGTGTTTATTTAAAAAATGCTTTTGTTCTTAAAGTTAGAAAACTTTGTCAAACCATCTCTCTTTCAGGACGTTTACATGATGACAAAAAAGTTTATTTATTGTGTTTGTCCGTCTAAAACTGCATTCTTAGGCTACATGAAAACAAAATATAGAAACAGAAAGGGTCCTAACTGGATTTTTTTAAATTCCAAAGATGGAAATCCACATGCTCCACAGAAGAGTTGACAGAGATGTAAATAGATGGAAAGCTGTTCCTGGTTTTATTGTTCGACATACAACCAGCTAGCAGCTTGCTATGTTGTTTGTTGATTGCTTGGTATATGACGCAATAGGTCACTTGGAAGAAGGTCCCATAGTCACTAGCTGAAAGGGGGCACAGAGCCACCTGCTGTAACAGAGTCTGGCATACCTCTGTCAATAAATCGATGCTCCCCTTGTGCTTGTATACTGGGACAAGGGCAGTAGTCCAATTAAATGGCCTAATCAAGAGGTGCTGATGTCCTAGCAGTTAGGTTACGCCTCACGTTAGGAGGCTGTAGTCCTCCTACAGCCGGGGTGTAAGTCAGAGCTGTGGCACCTCTCCTGCATGTCATTCCTTCCTGTCTCTCCCTACTTCCTACTCTTTCCACTGTCTTGTGAAAAGCCCTAATAAGGCTATAACCGTACTTAACTGTGCATGTAAACGTAAACGTACTGAGTATCTTTTTTTCCCCTTCTGCTCAGGTTCACCTACCAGGCTAAGCTGGGCGGACGCTGGTTTCCTCCAGTGTGCGCATCCAACAAGAAGCAGGGAAAACAGGAAGCGGCAGACGCTGCTTTACGTGTTCTGATTGGAGAGGCTGAGAGGGCGGCTCGTACCGGGGAGCTTATTCCCGCTGAGGTATTGTTTTTTTGTTTTTGATTTCACATTTTCTGACAGGAAACCTTTTATAAGCACAGACATCAAAAGAGCCTCTTCTGATTCAGCATTGGAAGGCAGTATGTAATGGGATTAGAGAAACAATGTGTCAAACAAAGAGCTTTTGATTACCTCATTATCTGTGTTTAAAGATTAGGCTCAGATTATTTAAAGTCAATGTCTGCCTCCGGATACTTTTGGTGAGCGAAACGGAATCAGTGACAAAGAAAAGCTTAAATGTTTATACTATGTACTACTACTACTATATGTTTTTACTAATTAAGTAGTACACGCACAGTCTATAACAAAACAGTGCTATGTATTTATTCTCTTCACCCGGGGGGCTTTAGCTTTGCATCAACTACAGTAAGTAAGGACTTGGGATTGAAATTCAACTCACAAATGTAAGAAGTTCTCAGGCTGCTTATGTTTTGGTCCACCATAAACTCTGCCAGAAAGCCTGACTTGTATTTAGGAAGTGATCATTTACCATGCTAATGTTCTGTGACTTATCATTGGATTGCACAGTCAAACTCATTTGAGCTGTCCCTGAATATTAAACCAACTGGGAGAAACTTTCATTCCTTGTCCATTTTGGTTGCCCCTGTGGACAAGCGGTACGTCTTATCTCTTTGCTGATGCTGTTCTGTACATACTAATGAAGAGTGCTTTGGAGAACAATCTTGTGCCATTTCCATTTTACTGTCTGGATCAAACTTTGCCATTTTAAATGTAGAATAGAGGCTCTTTTGTTCAGCATGCTTAATTCACTTCACAACAACTGATAGCAGCATTTAAATGAATTTAAAACAAATATATACAGAAATAGACAATTAAAAATAGTCCCATACTGAGTCATCAGCGTTACATCGTCTCTGTTTCAATCCAGTTAATAATGCCTCACAGCAGTTAAGTAGGAAAATCTTCATGTTCTTTCTGTCTTGTCTTTTCTTGTCTTTTATACATCCATTTCTCTAGCTTCCAGTGAGTGGAAGCACTTTACACGACCAGATAGCAATGCTGAGCCACCAGCGTTTTAACTCCCTGACCACCCGTATCCAGCACAGCCTTCTGGGACGTAAGATTCTGGCCACCATTGTCATGAGGAGGGGGAGAGGGCCTGGGGACGGTTGTCAGCCTGGGAACTGGTAAATCCATCACCTTAAGCAAGTAACCTTTGAAGTTAAGGGTAGTGGTAGTAACAGGGTGATCAGAGAGTGTTGCTGCATAAAAAGTGTCTCGCTGCCTTTTTTTTCCATGATGCGAGCAACAGAACTAGGTCACTGCAGGACTGAGAGGCATTACATTGTTGTGTTTGACATTGAATGTGTTTGCTTTTTTTTTTTTTTTTCCAGGAAATCGTTGTGTTAAAGGGGAGGAGCTGAGCCTTAAAGGGGAGACTGTTAATGACTGTCATGCTGAAATCATCTCCAGACGAGGATTCATTCGGTAGAAATACATCCTGCACTTAATCAGCACTTTCTGTCCCAACTACTTCCCCTTCCAGACCCTGGTCTGCGGGACATTATTTAAAAGTCTAAGTCATCATTTCATTTCTTCTCAGGTTTCTGTACAGTGAGCTGGTTAAACACTACGAGGGTTCAGAAGATAGCATATTTGAGCAAGCAGAGGAAAACAGACTACAAATCAAATCTGACATAACCTTTCACCTCTACATCAGGTGAGAGGATCAGATGTTTTCTTTCTCCTCTTTCACTCCTCGTCATGCTCTCCTCTTTCATTTCTGTCCCGTCCATTGCTCAGATACATCAATGTTTCATGTTTGGATCAATATGATCCTTTCTCCTTTAAACTGCAGGTCAGTGGTGGCTGTCATATCAATATCTTACATCTCTTGTTTCTCTTTATGTATAGCACAGCACCTTGTGGGGACGGGGCTCTGTTTGACAAGTCTTGCAGTGAGACAGGGGATGATATCGAGGGTCATCAGCCTCTCTTTGAGAATAATAAGCAGGGCAAACTTCGCACCAAAGTGGAGAATGGTGAGAAAAGGCACCGTTGCAATCGTCTTCATAGATGTGCAGTGCTTGGATGCTTTTTATTCATTACCCTGGTTTGTGGGAAAGACTTGTGAACTTTGTGTGTGCTGTTGTTGCTTGTTTCAGGCGAGGGTACTATTCCAGTGGAATCCAGTGACATTGTGCCCACTTGGGACGGCATCCAGCACGGAGAGAGGCTGCGCACCATGAGCTGCAGTGACAAAATCCTGCGCTGGAATGTGTTAGGTCTGCAGGGGGCGCTGCTCAGCCATTTTCTGCATCCCATCTACCTGAAGTCCATCACACTTGGTAAAACTTCCTTTTTTTTTTCTAACTCAAGAAAAGATAATATGACAAAGTCATGGCATCAGTTCCATTTTGACCTTTCCTTTTAGCTCATATTTGTTTTCTACAGTTAGTCATGTTGTTTTAATCTTGTCAGGCTACCTGTACAGCCATGGGCACCTGACACGTGCTGTTTGCTGTCGACTGGCCAGAGACGGTAAAGCGTTCACCCAAAGTCTCCCTCCTCCCTTCATGCTGAACCACCCTGAGGTAAATGCACACATTTTGTGACATATGGGCATTAATCAAGAGTATTGAGGCCATCTCACTAATTAATGAATTATGCTGCCCACGCTCCTATTTGTGCCCAAACAACTTTTTCTTCACTGCTCGCCTCTTTAAAATTTGTCTCATCCATCAATTAACAAAAAGCAGGTGTGGTGACTGTCATGTAGCCCTGTGATGTCACTGAGAGAAAGCTGGAGGTCGAACAAAATTCAGCTTCAGCTCCTTTGTATTTGCCATTTTGAACACTTTTATTTACACTTAAGCAGAATTTGTTGTGTATATTATCCTAATCTACAGACACACTGATGCAGCCATCACACTCACACAAGCATCACAGAAATCATTTAGCACGCTCTGTTTGGAGCTGACTCTCACTCAGGGGCTAAATTAGCATGATTGAACCAAATATGCTCTCTATCTCTCCTTTTCCTTTCCACCACACCACCTGGCGGGACCATAGGTGGGCAGAGTGAGTGTGTACGACTCCACCCGTCACATTGGCAAGACCAAGGAGTCCAGTGTGAACTGGAGCTTTCCTGACCAGCACAGTGTGGAGGTGCTGGACGGGACCAAAGGCAAACTGGATGGGTATGTCGCTGAACAAAAAACTGCCACTCCTGACAGCATACACATTGTTTGTTCATATCTTCTGTTATTTTCAGCTTAAGTCATTATTGAAGTGTGGGTGTAGTGCTGCTGAACTGTTTTTTTTCTAGTGGCTAACAACAACTTTTTAGAAGCCCACACACACTTGAATAAGTAATCTGCTTAAGCAGAGAATTAAATTGATTAACCCAGAAGTGCAGTTCACCTCTAAAAAAACTTAAAAATGTGCCATTGCTTTCATCTGTATGAGTTATCACTTGACACTGATCAAACACTATCATTAGGAACACTTGCTGTTTGGTATTACAATCTTAGTTGTTTCATTCATTCATCTTAAGTTACTCTGGACTGGAACTGCCAGTAAAAGATTTTATTGATCATTTTAATTATTATCGTTTAATGAAGTCATCTAATATACAGAGCATCAGGCAGTTAGTACAATCACACAATTAAATGAAAATGAGTGACAGTCAAACTTCTTTTGAGAACTCTAAACTAAAGATACATCTCTTGTCTTCTCTCTAGGAGCAAATTAAGCACCTCCAGAGTATCCAAGGCCAACCTGTTCACTCTTTTCCGCTCTCTGTGCCAGCGATGTGGCCGCACAGACCTCCTTGCCCTGCCCTCCTACACACAGGCCAAGATGTCTGCCTTTTTCTTCCAGCAAGCTAAGCAGCAGTTCTTCCGAGCTCTCAGCGTCCACGGTTATGGTGCCTGGATCGGCAAACCGCTAGAGGAGAAGAGCTTTGATGCAAAGGAGGGAATCAGGAACAATGGAGCAGCAGGGGTATCTGTGGGATTCGGCAGCAGTAGAAATGGAGCAACAATGGAGTACAAGCAAGACGAGGCATAGAGCAATGCAGGGTGCATCGTTAGGGGGGTAATATAAATATGCAGGGGGGGGGGAGCACAAGCAGGGACATATTTAAAATAAGACTATATAAGAGGACAATCAAAGGGTTGTTGGTGGCCTAAACTGTATCTTCTGATGGATCGTGGTGGAAAGGTGCAGAAGAAGAAAAGGACTCAATAAGTGAGAGGAAGATGGCGAGGACAAAGCCTGACGGATGAGTGGTGACAGAGATCTAAGGAGAAATCCTCCTGAAGCACAGAAAATATCACTACATGAAAAATGGGAAGTAGTTTGAAGTCAGTAAATCAACATGCTAACTATTGCTGCAAATTGGAGTTGTATTGCAAAACAGTTATTGTATGTCAGCTTCCTTCATACTGCTAATAAGCCTTGGCTGGTTTCAAAATGTAATTTGTTGTATTGTTTGGCATAGCCTGCCATGTTTTTCCACTTGATGTGTGAACTCATTTTTGGACCCATTAGATTTGGCCTCTTCAGACTACTGTTTGCCATCTAATTTAGCCATGAGAGCTTGAGTAGCTGACAAGTGCTGCAAATTGGCTTTCAACCTCATGTGGCCCTCCCTCTGAGCAGTGTTTGTATTTTGTATTTAGGTTCATAAAGATTTTAAGTCCTCTGCCATCAAGTGCTTTTTTTATTTTTCTTGTCTATGGTTTACTGTAAGCAGCTTCAGCAAGAAGAATCAATGCAAATGTAATGAAATGAGTTCTTTTGCAGCACAGTCCCAGCCAACGTCGCACACGGGAGGCTTTCAGTGTACATAAGATCGCAAAGCAAACTATTGCTCTGATCAGTGACCAACCAAACATTCATTCACAAATAGAGGCTTTAGCATCATTTACACACGTAAATACTTTTATTCAGACCCGTCTCTGTGTTCATTTTCAACTTTCTGTACACCCTCAGCAGTCCCGCCCGCCACATGTTGTTGCCATGGTTACCGTACATGGCGTAGAATAGGTCAGCAGCCCCTTTGAGCGGTCCCTTAAACTCTCTGTGCTTTTTGCTTTTATATTCAATTTCTGATGTCATGGCCTCCAAGAGTCACAACAGTTCTTTTTTATGTTTTGTTCTTGTGTGTTTTTTGAATATCTCCTTTTTTTTCCCCATTTCTATAAATGACTTCATCAGCAGCTGGCCATAAAAGAGAGACCTGGGATGTCTTAACTCTCCTGCCTGCAGCCTGTCTGCATCCTGTTTTATACATCTCGATCATACAAGGCTCTTTAGGCTCTTCTGTATGGCCAGCTCCTGATGAATACAAAATGAGGATAGTTGTGTTGTTTAAGGGGAGTGTGTGAGCTGTTCTTTGATTTCTTTGGTTACTTTAAGATGGATGGTGCAATATATACATCAGGTATATACATATACATGGACACACAGGTGCAGGGTGGGGTCCAAAAGCCTAAGTCCAGATCAAGAAATTCACTTAGGAGTCAAAAGTAAACACGTTCTGAAAAAAACCTTTAAGTTAAAGTTTCCCACCCTTTTTTAGTATTTGTCTGTATAACACTGGTACTATGTTGTGGAGAGAGACGTGTGTTTTTTTTTTAGAAGAACTCAAAAGAGCATGTCAGAAATGTACTGTGATGTGTTTTAAGTTTGCCCTGACAGTTTTTTTATTTTAAGGTCCGGTACCTACAAGTTGAAAGCAAACAAGTCAGCACTTCAAACAGTTTGTTGGAGCTTTGGTGCATGTACAGTTCAGAGCCATTGTTTTTCTGGGAAATAAAAGGTTTTATGATATGCCTCTGTAGATATCAATATAAAAATGTGTTCTTTTACTACTGTCCTGATGTGCAGGTTTTCAAAAGAGGGCTTTATTGTTGCCTTCAGTGGTGATACACTCCCAATAATGAAGCCTTTAAACTAAGCCGTGGAACTAGTGATGTAGTACTTGAAATCCAAGACTGGTCCCCCCGTTACTGTAGCAACCTTCCCAGTGTTCCGGCCTAAGTGAGTGACACTCCCGCTGCACACAAGACGATGATTTTACTGTGATATTTATGGTCCTGGTCTTGTCTCTGTCTCGATCCCTAAATGTGTTGGTCTTGTCTTGGTCCCCAACCACTGATGTCTTGGTCTTGTCTCGGTCTTGATCCCCTAATGTCTTGGTCTTGTCTTGGTCTCTGAGCACTCTGATCTCGGGTATGTCTTGGTCTCAGTTGGTGTGGTCTTGACTACAATGCTATGTTGAACTAAGAAGCTAAAAACATTTTTCAGAGGAAGTCCTTTATCAGGTCACGTCACAGGCTTTAAAAGAAATTACATGTCAAGACTTGTAGAACAATGTTTTTTTTTTTTAGTGTTAGTCGCTCCCTTAATGATGACATTGAATTTGAAAATGGCAGATCTAAATGTTTTTGAGGGGAGCTTTAAATGAAAGAAATATGCGTTTGTTTTTATTTTTAATCACTAAAACGCCTCATTCTTGATGTTGGACTTAGACTTTTGGACCCCACTATGCAAATAAAGGATGTTGAAGTAGAATTCTGTAAATATGTCTGTGTGTTTATGTATATGTATAGGTTTAATGTATATATTTTGTAGATCATCTAAAATTGATTTTCTAAAATTGTTTTAATTAAACTGCAATGAATATGCTGTTTTTTACCAATCGAGTTTGAAGCAAAAAAATAAATGAATAAAAATAAGTAGCAATGTTCCGGTGGAGTTCTGTGTGTCTGTAATATATTTGAATCAGTCTGTTTGATGTTGTTTTACTTCTTTTAATTTAACATACAGTGTAGGTGTCTGAATGAGTCATGGGCTTTTACATTTAGGCGTAAAAATATTTTCCCTCCTTCAAGAGGAGGCATGAGAGAAAAACGTTGAGACTGGTTTAGGAGAGTGAAAAAGACCGAGCAGTCCCTCTGCCTCTAATTCCAAATATATTACACAGCTTTGCTTGAACTTATCCAGAATCCAACAGACTCTTTCGACTAAAAGTTTAAATGAGTTTGAGATGCTTTTTGTTTGAGATCCTTTACATAGTACACGCTATCTCCTTATTTTTTATTTTTTTATCTCCAAATACCTGCAGAGCCCGTTGCAATGCTCCAAAGGATCAGCAGATGGAAACATGTCCCTGCCTTTGGGTCCGGAGGCTGTGTGAGTGTGAGTGTGAATGTGCGTGTGCTAAAAGGCTTTATGACATTAGCCTCAGATAAACATTTGAATCTGCAGCGCTGACATTCAATAGATTCATACATTATAGTAAGTTGACTTCTTGCTATTTTTACATGATACGACAACTCTTAAGAGATTAGTTTGCTTTCATTTTCAGGCCCTATAGGTCCTATTTAATCTATCTTTTTAGGAACAGTTTTAGTCAATCCAGCACTTACACTTCCAACAAGTATAGTACATGCTTAGAGTTTAGGTCAACGTAGTAGATATAATACAGTGTGCGTGGGATTCAACTTATTGCTGTTGCATAGAGGAGCATATGATTAGATGAAAATAGTTCAACTGCATATAGAGGTAAATCAAGATGAATTAACAATAGACCGATGCTTTAATGATTTAAAGGATTATGTATTTTAAAAAACAATATACTGAAGGCAAAGAAGTAAAAAAAAAAAAAAAAGGATACATTGGTTGCTAAACAAGTATTCTTTCAGAGATGTTAGAAATGTGCTTTAAAATCATGATACTGTACGATACTGATCTCCCTCACTGTCTCAGCAGTGTATCGATGTGGTGCAATAACACTGAACATTTAAACGAGCCATTTTGAGCTGTTGCTTGGTGTGATTTCTCACTGGGAACAAATAGTGATATTCAGCTTCTAATTCTGAATCAGTGTCAGATCCGGTCTCCGAGTCAGCAGCAATTGTGTTTTGTCAGGAGACAAGATAATGGCAGCAATATTGGCAGCCAATCAGTGTAGTGTCTTAGAAGGGGTTTTATTGTTAATGCCCCCCCAAACAGCCAGTTATATGAAAGGAGGGTCGAGTAAAAATGGAATCTCAACAGAATCAGTTGAAAAAACATGCATCTTCTACCAATTTGTATTATTATATGTTTGTGTTGCCCAAATCGGTGTGCAATAGTGAGGGCTTGTTTCAGATCTCCACCCATCAAGTTCTATTCATGCTATCTCTCCTGTCAAATATTTGGATGGTGGGAGGGCAACACTAATGATAGAGAGAGGAGCAAAGCACGGTGGAGGGAAGGGTGGACGAGTGAAACAGGGCTGCATGGAGTGAAATATTAGTCCACACCGAAGAGCTTAAATGAGCCAATCGATCCTCTCCAATGGAAATAAATGAGAGAGGGGAAGAAGGGAATATAGGAAGGCTGAGTGTGGAGACAAACGGCTAAGAAGCTAAGCTAAAAACACACAAGCTCATGAGAACCTGTGGAGTTGGGTTCAAATTTATATTTGCAGTCATAGTAGTGACAGGAGGGAATGAGCTTTAGGTCCAAAAAGCAAAAGAAATGGCCCTGGAGTATAGTCATGGTGTGACGGTTTTTGAGTTATAATGGATAATGTTTTACTTTGGTTCAAATGTGACTGAAGTAAAAAATATACTCAGTTTTACTGCCATTTTCCTGCCTTGCTACAAAATGATATAACCTTGTAAAAACACAGGCAGTGATGAATAATTTTACTGCCATTCAACCAAATCACATACCTTTGTGCAGTAACCTTGCAGCCATTTGTCTATTGAATAATACCATGCCATTCGAACATGCATACAGAAAGCCATGGTGGCCAGTCAATGCATGTTTTTGGGAACATCTGATATCATGGTTAAGCATAGAATGTGTCATCACAGGAGCCACAATAGAAAAAAAGTCTGTCTTCCATCACAAGGTATTGTCCATCATATCATTTATTTAAGTAAAAAAGAAACAGGAAAAGGAAAGCTCCTGATTTTTTTTTTTGTCTCTATAAGCCCTCAGTTGTTGCCCAACTGACTCAGTCCCCATGAATCTTAGCATTCAAACCCCGTAACCGACAGAATTAAAATGTCTGGCAACAGGTGACCTCTCATAATGATTCGTGATTTTACTTTTCGGACTCTAAGTTCCCTCTTTGTTTTACCCACACAACCATGCAAACAGGGACGGCTGTCAGTGTGGGCGGCTATGGCTCAGTCGGTAGAGTCGTCGCCTATCAACCGGAAGGTCGAGGATTTGATCCCCTGCTGAGCAACATGTCCGATGTGTCCTTGGGCAAGACACTTAACCCCGTATTGCTCCCGCTGCTTCAGTATCGGTGTTTGAATGGATTAGGGTTGTACTCACTCTCTGATGTATGTCGCTTTGAATTAAAGCGTCTGCTAAGTGAATTGTAGAATTGTAGGGACATTTCAGGAGACACCTGTGTGCTCATATGAGATTCTGCCTCTCTACTTCCTGCCTGTGGGGGTGCAACAGTTGGTCTGATTAAACCTGGATAGTGACCATGAGTAGAAGTTTACATACATGTCTGTCTTTACAAGTTTATCGGGTTGACACATGTTAGGCCACCAACTGGGTCATAGATAGAATATGCCAATCTTTCTTTACAACCTCTTTGATCAACTGAGAAAGAGGTGAAAAAGTGATTGTCAAAATAACAGATTTTTATGTGGCGAGGAAGATTAAGATAAGTCAGAAGCCTGCCTGTCTATTTCATGAACCTCATATAAACACACATGTAAGACTAAGTAACAAAAGCAGTTATTCTTTTGATATGGACAATGAGATGAAGCAGACAGCTGCAGAATTCAAGGAATCATATGGACCTTGAATAAGGTCTGTTTAGTCAATCGGTGAAGAATAAACTGCCAAGCTTGCGCTGAGTTATTACTTAAATTTGATCTATAGTTAATATTTAAAGTGGTATTTACCTTTTTTTAATTATTTTTTTACCTATTGTTTATTATTTGTGTTTTTCCCTACAAAGATGTAGGAGCTGAATTAAATGGTGGTTATTCATCATGTGGATTTTTTTTCTGAACACAAAACAGAAACTTCTACCAGTAAATGGAAATTTGACCACAACAGTGATTGAATGGACTGACTGATTGGGCAGAACTGACTTGACTGTATAATGTAACTTTTTAAATGAATGTAGTGTCACAAAGAGTCTGGCAAGAATCAGGCAATGTCACTTAACTGAGAGATATAGGAGACAGCTGACTCAGGGAGACCGCAGCCTCTCTCTCTCTTTCTCTCTGACAACACCCCCCCCACACACACACACACACACACACACACACACACACACACACACACAAACAACAACCCTGAATAAACTTTGCTATCATGCTGACACATTCAAACTGTAATTAGCTTCTGAACTTATTTAGCACTCCTGAATGTAAGTAACAGGGCAGCTGCACACTTGCGGACATATTTAGCCAATTGCCTCTTCAATCAAGCTCGGCACATACAGTAAAATACAGCATTCCTTTTGTCAGAAGGCTTCAGACCTTGACTCTTAACTACCTACGCATTAAAGGAGGCCTAAATTTGACGCCGCTTCTGACAACTATGAGGTTTCAAAACAGGCCACACATTTTCACTCACCATATCTCCCTGCCATTACATCAACAATCCCTTCTGTTTCTGTCGACAGGGGAAAGAGCGGTGTTGGCGGACAAGGGGAACAACCACAGCTTTAAACTGTTAAACTGTGGTGAGAGTCAGAAAAGCGGTCAGGGTAACATGATTCCACAGATCTAAAATGCTGCCCACATCTCAGATGAGTGACTGAAATTGGTCTGGTGTTGTGTTAAAGGATGGCTATTTCTGCTATTTGGAGGTACAATCAAAGAATCAGAGTCTAGAAGATTTGATGCATTGAGCACAACAGCTTTCTATAGCCTAAGTTTTATCTTATATAAGATATCAAGCATATATGTTCCCATAGTTCTTGTCCCTTCAGCTCAATATCCTCTGTATAGAAAATTAGGATGACCTTTTTGCTAAAAATACAGAACAGGACTTTAATATTGGCATTGGAAATGTTTGGGTCTCCATTTGTAGTACAAGTATATCTGTTGTCTAAAACCTAAATTTGACTGATATTAAATTCCTTGTCAGTCTTATAAGAAGTGAGCCAACTAACTGTAACTGTCTCGCTTGTTTGTGGATAGATAATTGAAGGCTTAAGCTCTGCACCATGGGTCATGGCTATCATGTTGTTACTTGTATGAAGAAGAGGAGGGGGCACTAGAAAGTTGGAGAGCAAGGGGTTTGTAATGCTAAGTAGTCAAAGTAACCCAGTATGAACACGGCGAAACTAATAGCTTGTCAGCTAAACAGCACGGTAACAGCCATTGTATTGTTTCCAGCAAAGTGAGACCCCATGTATGGTAGCTGACATGGTTACTGAGAAAGTAAGACAATGCTATTTGGTAACCTAAAATAATTTCAAATAAGTTAAGTTTGACTGTGTTTTTTTTTTCAAAGATTTATTTTTGGGCTTTTTGTGCCTTTATGGAGAGATAGGCTGGAGTTGGAAATCAGGGAGAGAGAGAGAGGGGAATGACATGCAGGAAAGGAGCCACAGGCTGGATTTGAACCTGGGCCACCCGCTTTGAGGACTATAGCCTCCATACATGGGGCACTCGCACAAACCACTGCGCCACCAGCGCCCCAAGTTTGACTGTTTTAATATAGAGTTCTACAGGGATTTTCCCACTTTGGGAGACAGTCTCTAGTGGCCCTTTCATGAACTGCAGTTTTTTGTGGCAGTTTGGGGATAATAGAAATGACCTATATCTTCATAGCCATGTATCTTGCTTGATTCAGGGGGAGGGGTTTAACGCACAAATCATGATTCACAAGAATTATTTTTACAGTCTTTCCCTGTTATGTATCGTCCAAGGCTTAAAATCATAAAGAAATGAAACTTCTTAAATTTTAATTGCTACTAGAAAGAAGAAAAGAGTCTTTTGGCAGCAGCAGCGGAGTAATACCGTACTGCACATACTGTGAAACCTAAGGCTGGATATCAGGAGTATTTTCCAGAAGAATTGGACAGGTAGATATAGTGTCAAAGCTTGTTGTTGAGTGACAACTGGAAATAAGATGTGGAACTCATTTCTGGCCCTGTGATAGGTGGCTTAAAAAGAAAGCTAATCACTTTGTCTGGTTTCAACTGTGACAGCTTGGCATCACGGCAATTCACTGGGACCAACTGACACAAAGCCAGGTCAACCGATCGAGCCAGGCACTGCTGGGTTTCTGGCTCTCCAGGAATGGAGTGAAAGAGAACCGCTGCCCAGTATCCAATCTTTATAATCTCCCTCAGAAGAGTTGTAGAAGGACATGAATGTCAAAGTGATAGGAAAAGGAAAAGTGTGTCTGAGAGGAAATCAGGCAGTGTCACTACTCTGCTGACGAGCAACTTTTAGTGAGACGGCAGCTGACACAAACACACACATCCAGTAGATCAGCACAGCCACACTGTTCGCTTTGCTATCATGCTGACATTGTGAAACTGTAGTTACCCTTTGAACTGCTCAAACCCTAATATATGTTTGTAACATGACAGCTGCACACTCTACCAAAGGACTTTATGGTCAGGGGCGACGATAATCTACTTCCAAGGAATTTTCTTATCAAACCGGACCTGACATGAAGGAGGGAGTATTTTGTTTGGTGTTTGATATGACTGACAGACATAGAGTCTAAAAAGCTGTGTTGGAAGAGTTGCTGTGTGTTAGCCCTTTGATTAAAAAGGCAGAGTTGTTTGTAGGTGATATGTTTCAGACTCTGTATTCCTCTGTATTCTTTTTACCCCCAGTAGTCTGCTCTGTATGTGTTTGATTAGTCTCTTTCAAGCAGCAGGATCAGAGTGCTGTTTGCTCGGATGGATCTGCAAACATGTGGTCAGTTTTAGACTGTGGGTTACTGCGCACAGCTTCCTCTGCACAGGCCCTTAATGCAATCTGAGCCATTAGGATACAGTGGAGCCGGTGTGGAGCAGTGATTAGAGCATGTCTGATAGAGTGGGTTCGATAGAGCACAGGGCAGGGGTTCATTAAGAAGCGCTGTGCAGCTATGTAATGCACTTGCTCATCACTCCTCCTACGGCATTTATCATAAATCTGGACAACAACAGGTGTCTCATTCAGAAAAGGAGTCAAACATGTTCCTCCTTTTCCCTCTCTGCACTGACTGGCCATGTAGATAATCCAGAATTGTATGTTTATATTTGGCACCAAACACTAAGTAAATCACTTTGGTGGCTTTCATCATAATTCTACAGTGGGTTGACTCAGACCCATGAGTCGTGGTTCTGGGAAAGTCCTCTGGTGGGGCATCAAAAACTGTCTGTGCATGGATGTGTTTGTTGAGTGTTACTCTTATTGCACTCATTAGCCTCCCTGTTACATACCCCCCCCCCCCCCCCGTTATGTCACTATGAAGTTGTGTGTGATTTGCACGGTATAATGTCATTTATTCAAGCTGGTATATGGCCTTCAGCACTTAGATAACAAAGCGAGAGAGAGAGAGAGAGATATCAGGTGGACTGAGAACTCATCTGTATACTATTGCGTTGGCATAGCAACTGCCATCCCACTTTATCATTCCTCTTTGTATTGTATTATTCACTTTCTTGTTCACATATTTATCCCAGCATACATCTGACGTCTGCTGCAGGGCAGGACTGTGAACTAACCTTTTCATTCAATGGGCCCATCATTTCTCTCCTCTGTCACTCCACCCTGCTTTCCCCGCTCTACACTCTCAATCTTTCTCTGATGCCCTCTAACCTCTGTCCACAATATTGAGGCCCCTGAATGATATACAGTGTGGCCTGCCCACCATTTGTATTTTCTGGCCCCTTGGACCTCTGTCAGCCCCCTTTTTACCTTTTTTTTTTATTTTTGCTATATTGTATTCTATTGTATTAGTCAACTTATTCTCACCTCCTGTGAGAGCAGCTGTGAAGAAACCGCTGCCAGAACATTAAAGTTTTGATGATTATTTTTTTGCATCATTAATTTGAGTCTTTTTATTTGAGCTGATAAAGGGGGGGAAACACAAATAGGAGGAATACACCAGCTGTGCAGGTTAGAACCAACATCAAAACCATCCACACATTTGTGTTTTTTATAAATTGACTGCGTTCAACTAAGGGTGCAACTAAAAAATATTTGATTAACAATTGGTTTATTTCCTTGTCACTTATTTTTGTTAATACATGTAGTGCCTGGCCTGTAAAATGTCAGGAAACAATGAAACATATTCCTAAAGCCTCATTTTGTATTTTGTCTGAAAAACTATTCAAAAACGAAATTTCTGACAAAACAGTCGAGCTAAAAGAAGAACAACTTATATTTTTACTTGTTAAATAACAAAAAGCCATGTAAAAATCCTCAAATGTTCTCAAGCTAAAAAGAGCCCAAAAACAGATGATTATAATTTCAGTTATGTATTGTGTGTCCTAGCCTTATTCTTTCACTCTGTCTGATATGATATAGTCCAGAGCTGACCTTTGACCTTTCTCCGGGCTTTTCTATGAAGAATTACTGCCTGTTGAAGCACCACTCTCCATCACTGACCCATCACGAATCAGCCCAGGGCAGAAACAACACATTACTGTGTTTATTCACTATTCATGAGGAAGGAAGGAGGAATGGCCTTCTGCTTAGATTCAGAAGGAAACACTTGGAGTAGAGAGGGAAAAAACAGCAACGTAAAAATAAACAATAAATACGACAGTGATAGTGAAACATATGGCAGGATGACATATTTGTCCAGTTCTTACTGTGCGAATGAGGTGTTTGCATATGGTTGTGATGTATAAATAACGGTCGGGATCATCCTGCATATGATTTGCTTTATTGATGTCTGTCAGGTTTCATAATCGCAGGATAGGCTGACCTGTTATAAGGGAACGGTCTAATACGATCCCACACGAATCAACGTCACCGCTCATCCGATTAAGGGTGCCCGTAACGCACACAGAGAACCATCATTTTAAAGAGATTAAACCAGGTAGAATAGCCTCATTATGTGGGCTTATGTTGTATGGGCTCTCTGCAGTTGGAATTATGAAATGATTAGTCAACTTGGAATGAAATCAGAGAAACCCCTTTGTAAATTATGCATCAGAATGATTGTTTTCCTCCCCCTAAGGCGTAAATTAATATTTGATTCAATCCACAACTTTATTTATTACGGCAAGAGCAATTCTACGCATGCAGCCCAACCCTCAACACCAAAGTCAGCTGATAAAAGAGAAAATACAATGAATTATACCAAGAGGATAATTCATTCACCTATTTCAGTTCATTAAAATACATACTACAAATTTCCTCATTGGATGTTTTATATTAGCCTATTCACTAATCTCAGAGAAGTGTCTGAGTTCTGGACTCAGTTGAAGGCTCACAGAGACGCACCGCTCCTGCTGCTTCCACACCCTCCTCCACGCCATGTGTTGCGGGATTTAAAAAAAAAGAAAGAAAAATTGCAAATCACTGTTATTTTTACCCGCACATTGTTGGCAGATGTGTTCACAATTGCTTAGTAAAAGTAAGCAAAATTATTATGTGACAGCGTTTTTTGTTTTGTTTTTTACGTTGGGTTGCCAGGTCCAGCGTCCTTTCGCACGCGTAACAGGTGCGTTTAAGCACCGAAAATTAGCCCTAGTCTTTATTAAAGAGGCAGCAGCAACACACGCCGTTTCCCCAAAGCTACAGAGAAAATAAATGATACTAACACCACACAAAAAAAACAAAAAACGGGTTAAAAAAAATAGACATTTGTTTGGCAGCTTCAACCTACAAATCCTGCCACCTGTTTTCAGCGCTGATTTCGCCTCTCTGATTCCGTCCAATGGGAATGAACGGCAGGACTGGAGGCGGAGAAAGAGGGAGAGAAGTTGGAGGAGAGAGTGAGAGATAGATTCAGGGAGACAGTGAGCTGTAGGTTGAGATGAAGTCGGTGGATTCTCATACTATATGACAGGCTTCACTGCTCATTTGTGGAGTGGCACGGGACGCCGAGCTTTGTGTTTTTGTTTATTTGCCTGTTTTGCCGGTGTTTATGTTGGGATTTTTCGACGTGCAGCCACAGGTTGACCGATTTAATCCAGTCAACATGGATTACACCTCTTCATCTCGGGTCGATTGACACTGAGCCGATCGAAATGGGCACCATCGAGAGATCAGTGATGAGCGAGAGGGAAACAAACTGAGCATATCAAGTGAGCGGACACGGAGGTAAACATCTGTGGGGGGAAAGCGGCGCACAATTTCCAGAGACAAGCGGAGACCTGTGGAGGGACCTGCACGAAAGAAGGAGAAGCGAAAAGATAATGGGATGGCCTTGACAACATGAAAAAGAAGAAGTGTGGTGGTCTTTTTTTCATCCAGCCAGTGATTCAACACAACTAACCTGGGGGACAAGGACTGAACGAGAAGAGGTAGGAGGTAGGTAGAGAAACAGACAGGGAAGGAGGGGGGCGTGAAGGTGTCTGGTTATATCATACTGAAAGTAGGTTATTGTTTTGGATCAATCAAATGCACAAAAATGCAGCCAACTTGTGCAAAACTCAGGCATGCACGAGTACTTCTCCAGCTATCAAAATTGACTCATGTAGCATTATTATCCCTTAGTCTCTGAGCCTGATCTCCTTTTCCATGGTGTAAAGCCAGAGGATGTGCACCATCCTTCTGGCTAACAACAGTGTAACACAGATGACATTTTATGGCACAAATGGCTGGGAGCATTGTGATGTTAAGAGAAGGAGAGGACACTGGGTAACGGAGACAGAGAGCGCTGAGAGGGGCTGACTGGGCAGCTGAGTCAAATGCGACTCAAGGAATAACATATTCCCCAATTATGGCTACTTTTCTTCACTCTGCTGCACCTCTTTGTCACACGTCTTCAGCTTTTGGAGTTCAGACTATTCCCTTATGTCTTTTAACTATCCGTTATCCATCATAAAGCTCCCCGGCTCCTACCTCAAGCCAATATATTTCTCCTTATTACTGCGCTCAGTGAATAATAGTCTGTATTCTTTGTCATTTTTCTCCAGTGACAGTCTGATTCGTTTTTCTTTCTGTGTTTGTCTGTAGAAAGGTGCCTGGCCACAGCCGTGACCATGGAACCTCCCCCCTCTCTGAGCCTGGCTCTGCTAGGAGGGAGCGAGGACGAGGACCAGCGCTTCCTCCTACCCCTGGGCAGTATAACCCATCCCTCTACCACTGGCAACCAGCCAGGATCAAACCACTCCAACCACATGGGAGGATCAAGCCTAGATCGTCTAAATGGCAGCACCCCGTCCCCGTCCTCTGCCACGCCCAGCTTACCTCCAGCATCGCTACCCAAGTTGCCCCTGTCATCCTCCACAACCCAGCCTCTGCCCCCATCCATCCCCAACGCCCTTCACCCCACGAGCACTCCCCTCTCCTCCTGCCTGGGCTCACAGCACAGCCTGAGCGGGGACAATTCACCGGTCTACAACGCCCTCTTTTATTCCTCCCATTCGCCCTCCATGGAGCGGGAAAGGGACAGAGAGCGGGACAGGGACAGGGAGCGAGAGAGGGGGTGCAAACACAGACAGGCCAGCCCTCTGGTCCATCGCAGGGACAGTAACCCCTTCACAGAAATCGCCATGAGCTCCTGTAAGTATACAGGCGGGGTCATGAAGCCCCTGAGCCGCCTCAGCGCCTCCCGCAGAAACCTCATTGAATCGGACAGCAGCAGCGAAACCAAAGAGGCTGGCGTTTCATCTGTTGCCGGGGCAACTGCTACTGGTGGTCATGATCGACAGCGGGAAGCCCCTCCTACCTCCTTGTCGGCCTCCTCTACCAATCAACCCCCAATCCAGAGCCCTCCAGAGATTGTGATATCATCCAAAGAAGACTCGCCGTACCCCAGAGTAGGGTATGACATCACAGACTCCACATCTGATCAGATGTCCATCTACCACCAGAACCATGCGCTGGTGGAGAGCAGGCGGGCGCAGACAGGGAGGGGCAGCAGGCAAGGAGGGGTCGGGGCGGTAGGGACCGGGGCCAGAGGCAGCACCTCCAAGGCCTCCAAGCGTAAGAACCAAAACATTGGCTATAAACTGGGGCATCGCAGGGCACTGTTCGAGAAGAGGAAGAGGCTGAGTGACTACGCCCTCATCTTTGGGATGTTTGGAATCGTCGTCATGGTGATTGAGACTGAGCTGTCTTGGGGCGTGTACACAAAGGTGAGAGGATCAATCAGTGGCGCTCACAGGCCTGAAACTGATTGTACGCACAAAGATGATACATTTGTCTCTGTTATTCCTCACTACTGCTGCCCAATGTGTCATACAGAGTTAGAGAAGCTTGTTAGAGTTTGAAAAAATAACCCTGATGATGTCATGGTGACATCATCTTAGTTTTCTTGTTTTGGGATTAGAGATTACAAATATCTGAAAGAAGCCTGGGTTAGAAACAAAGTTTTTGAGGTTTAAAAGCCATGGTCATTACCAGGCATGAGGGTCTAACAGAACACAGGATACTTTTACCCAAAATTTCCACTGCACTAATTTCAACGGGCTATCATCGTGGTTGTATCCATGTGCACTGAATAGTTTTAAAGCTTTTTTTGGGGGTCATTCTGATCTTGATAGTGGTTGATGAAATTACAAATAATGCAGGACGTTTAATGCGTCTTCCAACCCCATGTCACCAACCCTAACATTCTCTGCTTTGGACTGGTAAGGAGTCAGAGTCAGCTTTTACAAGCTAATCACTGAATTCATGGTTGGTACTTTCGCTCTGACCAGAATGTTGTCCATGTTGTGTGAGGGTTGTGTACTGTAACGACCAGGCTTGACAGTTGTTGCTTCTGAGTGATGTAAAACAACAACACAGAGGATGAGAGTGTGGGGCAGATTATCAGTATGAGGCCAGGATCTCATTTGTCTGTGTAATGGGGAGTGTAATAAGCTGAATGGGCCCCTGGCTGCTTATGTCTGTTTATTTCGGCTGTGTTTGTGTATATGTGTTTTTGTGTGAGTGCCACACAAAAACATTGAGCATATTGTGCACGCCTTCCTTATGTAAAGATACTTATTTTTCTTCTTTCAGTCATTTCACAAAGGAAGGTTTTCTTTATTTAACCTCTCCCAACAATGTCAGGGTTTTTTTTTCATTAAAAACTCAGTTTGGTTGAAAGACAAAAAAGGACATGAGAGCACAGATTTACAGGAAGGCCATTAGAATAGTCCAGCTGGGTGTGTCTCTCCTCCCTAACTCTCTGGCATCCTGTGGACACTTTGTCCCCCCTGTCAAGTCCAGAAAAGTCTACCTTTTCTGTTTTACAAGCTGTGTCTTTGCCAACTCATTACTTTATGAAAATCTTCATTTGAGAGGCTTTGACTTTTTCTAAATGGAAATCATAGTTTAAAAGTCAGTCTCGAAATCCCTCCTTTCCTTCTTCCCTTCCGTCGACCTTTTCTCCTTTATGAACAAGTCAGCCTTTCTTTCTGTCTTTCTTCCTTTCTTTCTTTCTTTCGTTCTTTCTTTCTTTCTTTCTTTCTTTCTTTCATATATCTACCGTACTCTCGCTCCCTCTGCTCTCCTGGGCTCTTCCAGTGGGCGTCAAACTGGGGGAGTGTGATCAGAAGAGAGAGAGAGGGAAGCGGCTGGGCGAGAAATTAAAGGCTGTAGAAGGAGACAAAAAAGGCAAGGCGATAATGAAAAGCCTGATTTAGGTTCTTAAGCCACAACCAATACACTCCTCATTTCAATCAGGCAGCATTGTTAATCAGTGAGAAGTGATGGACAGCTCTGTATCCGAAGAAAGTCAGCCACTGTGCCGGTTGGTCCTTGTTCATTAAGATATTGAGTTGAGGATGAGGAAGTTGGATTTCAGTTTGAATAGTATGTGTATGCTCTTGTCTCCTTTCAGGGTTATACTTTTTTATTTTGAAGAGTTTGAACTCTTAGCTTCATTAGCAAAGCCGGATCAAAATTCATTTTTACATGTAGAGTGCCAAGCTACATATTTTTTCTGTTTTTATGGCCGCAGTTTTGTTTTGCCTCCAACAGATACTGGAGCTCCATCAGACAGTTCAAGCCCTCACTTAGGTAATTGAGGTGGAAAGAAGCATGCTTGTTTGTTGTGGGGAAAAAATAGAAAGATGGAGATCAGGAGGATGAACGGGAGATGGATGGGAGGTGGAGAGGTGAGAAGTGGAGAGGTTCGTGCAGTGCTTTAAAAACAGTCTAAGAGGGAAGCTTTGAATGATTTCTTGAATTGATTATTGATAATCTCTCACCCACACATGCACTGTCCAACCCGGCACACATGTGCTTTACAATCTGGCACATTGAAAATGGATGCTGCCTCTGCGAGGTGCTGCATTTTTCATATTGACCGAGATGCTTAATATGTGCTGTGAGAGCTTGCGGTGGAAATGTGATATGTACGGATCATTTTTCATTTTATGTATGTATATGTACACTCACTGTCCACTTTATTATCTCCACTTTAACCATATGAAATACATATCAAATACAAAAGCCCCTGCCATAAATTCTGCCTATACAATTTCAAAAATATAGATTTCAATCACTTGGAGATATGAATTTCAGTTCATATCATATTCATAAGTTTTATTATTACGTTTGTAGTGTGCAATGGTGCTAAACTCTAGAAAAGGCGTTCCTCTTACTTTAATCTCATTTACATATGTCAGATGAGTACAAAATTCATTACCAGCACCTTTCAGACTTTCACCTTTCATGAAGAAGAATTATTATCTTTATGAACACATCAAATTATCAGCGTTGTAACGTGTAATGTAGGATTATTATTAGCGCTGTATTAGATTACAATGCCTGTGTATACCGCCAAACCAGCTGCTCTCTCTCTCCCAAAAATAGAGATGAAGAATAAGAATGGAACTAAACAGGGTGGGTTGGATGGTGTGTGCATGTGTGGACTTGTGTGTTTGTGAGGAAGGATAAAGGCAGAGAGGTTAACAGAGGAGGACATGATGTTCGTGACTGTGGGTTCAGTGACTAAGCATATGTATATTCATGTGCAGAAACAGATTCAAACCCTGTCAGCACATACTGTGGCTACAGCTGACATTTTCAATTCATTGTAATATAGCCTCCATCCTCAGATCTTATCTTGTCCAAAGCAGTCAGGTTCAAGACAGAAGTACGTCCTATGGCGTTTGAGGCTACGTTTGAGATGAAGACGAAAAGTAAAGATGGCTATAAAAACTGCTCTATGTTCATTGACTTAGCAGCGATGAAAAACAACAAGTATGTTTGTTTTATTAGCCTACTTTAATCAGGCACAGTTAGAGGATTCATGCTATGCTAGACTTCAGGTTCAATACTTATCTCATAAATATTGAACGTTTCCATGACAGCTAAAGTTACAGGTTAATCTCTGAAAATATAAAAACTCTACCTCAGCCAGAAAAAACAAAATATGAATATTTATTAGTGTTGGGAATCGCAGGGTAACTCAAGATATGGTACGCGATGAAAGGCTTAAGAGAACAGTTATATCACAATATAGCGATCCTGTGATAGTTGATCAAATGCAAGACAGAGTCATGAAGTAGTGTCGCGGCAAGTTTAATTGGCAGGTAATTCCATTTATGTTTTTTTTTCTATTGAAATATTGATATTTGACAGCAGAGATTTGTAATTGTATCACACAAGTCAGGATGAATGTATGAAGCAGTACTGATATTTTGTCCCACCTCTAGTATTTATGCATTAACATTAATAAACTGATAACACAATTAATATAATAATGATATAATGATTTACCCCCCTTGAACATATGTTGTTGTGTTTCACTTTCAACAGATAATAAAATTAAGTTTTATTTGGGTTGTATACAAAGGACAAGCACATAATATTCTATCGTTTTGTATTGGATTTTGGGAATTTTGTGTAGTTTTTGAAATTATTTACAAATGAAAATATAAAAGTCCAAGAGTACTTTGCTGTGAATTAGTGTTTCAGTACTGATGTCGAGACAATTTTTTTGGAGGTCTCGGAATAGAGAACATTTTTACTCGGTCTTGTCTTGTTCCCCCCCCTGGAAGACTCCAGATTTAAATCAAGACCAGTCAAGACCACCACTAGTAGGCTACTTTTCCATGTCATTACAATGATTCAAAGAAAAACGCCCCTTTTTAAAAGAACAAATAACTTCAGTTCATTTATAATTAGATTTTTGTCCTCAAGTTACAGCCACAACCTTCCTGGTGTTACGGTCTAAGTGAGAAACATTCCCCCTGCACACAAGAGGATTTTTTTGGTCCTGGTCTTGTCCTGGTCTCGCCCCACCTCCTCGGTCCCGGAATTGGTCTCAGTTAGTGTGGGTCTTGACTGCAACACTACTGTGAAGCCCCTTATTATGATCAGATGCAAACATTTGCCTTCAAGTCAATTTGTTTGTTTTACTGATTCCTGCTTCTTGAAATGCTCTTGTGTGTTAACCAGTAAAAAGCCAAATTACAAATTCTCATGGGACAAATACTTATGCAAGGCACTGTGTTATATTGTAGCACTTGTTCATTTCCACAAAACAAGGATCTATGTGCTGGTAATACTTCTGTTCATTCACTGAGTATAAGGCAGAATTTGAGATGCAGGACCTTCCTTCTAAAAGTACATATTGTATACTCATGTTCTTTTGGTCTTTTCTAGTTAAATAATGGATCTAAATACTTCCTCCACCACCGATAATCAGTGCTCTGGGCAGCTTGTGAATTTCTACACTGTAAATGTCAAACCCCAGGTGTTGAGCTGAGATAGATTATGTGGGGAGAGAATATTGGATGATGAAATAATTCATGAATGTAAAATAGTTTCATTTATCTCAGGCAGAAATGTGAGTTGTCCCACAAAAATCATCAAAGACAAAACAAAATGTGAGTGTTAGATATTGCAATCATAACTCACATGGAGGCATGGTTTGAAAGTATCCATATTGTACGGCTTTAAAGGCTCTGTATTTTTAACTCTTCTTTTTCTGCAGCCTCTTGTAATGATGGAGCCACCAGGTTGTCACTGACCCAGGACCTTGACAATGTAAGCAGTTAACAGCAGTATGAGGATAGTTCCCTTTAAAACACTTTTATAAGCTTCTATTATTGCTTTTATTAGGAACAGGTTAAAATGGAAGGGAGTCCTTGTCTGACTTGCGTCTCTATCTGAGAATAACTGAGGCCTTCGGACACCT